TACGACGAAAGCGACTTTCTGCGTGAACTAGGCCGAACCGTGCTGACTGAAGTAGAGCTGAATCTGAAAGGCAAGATTAACGAGTTTAACTCGATCTGTATCCCATGCTTACATACGGTCATAAACAGTGGACCACTAACAAAAATCTTCGATCACTGGCACAAGCAGTTGAAATGGGCCTTAAATGCGACCAGAGTGGCGAAGTAACGGCCTTTAGAGCAGGTTAATCTGGCTAAAGCAACAGCAACTCACTTCAACAAAATAGTCTCGCTTTGCAATCCACTGGTGCTTTTACGATACTACATTAGTTCTTGCCAATGTACGAAACTGGTCAATACAAAGAATGAAAACTATATATTCGCGTCGGAAGGTGAACCGCACAATCCACTGCGTTTCACCAACATGAAGTGAGCCGTGGTTGTCCCGCATCCTTTCAGGGTATGTCTCAAATCAGTAAAGCTTACACTAGACATTCCCTCGACCCCACCAATACAGTACCTTGTTTTTTCGCCATCCATGAAACTGGCATTTGCTTGACGTCACTACGCTGTTCCTTCGAGGATTACTCCATTAAGAACGTTTGCCGCTGTACTGATAACACAACTTACTACCCTTTACCCACAACTTACCAATACGACGGTACTGGTACAGATGATAAAGAGTTATATATGCATAATATTTGAATATTCCGTTGAACAATTAGTGCAAAGGCAATATCGCAACAATAAAACATTTTCTTTTTGTAGGCAAGCAAAAAACCATTAGACAGTTCTCAGCGACTGAAAAGGACACATCACTCTGTACTGCGATTACTCGGCACACGAGCTTGCTGATAAACTTATCTAACCTTGGTTGTTAAACTATACCTCAGCCGTGGAAAACAAATACCGAAAACAACAATATAAATTGTCCTGTAGTGTCGAAATCAATGAGAAAAAGTAACGCAACGTATTTAAAATAAATAGAGAATGATGGGTGGTGGCAGTCACCGCCGGCACAGCTTAATAATAATAGCCGAAACTTACATGGACTAACAGCCGCCGGGACGACTCGTAGAAACGTCGTCACGACAAACATTAGCAAAAAAGCAATGACGACCGACAAGTACGAAGACATGCTATAGTGGTAGGTTGCCACCGCCATTGTCGCCGGCACCGCCACATACGCCGCGTGTCATCTATTACTCTAGTCGCGTGTCCGTGCTCACGGGATACTACACCAAAGAACGCTCGCTCCTAATGGCTAGCAGTAAATGATCTTCACTCTAAAGAAGCTCAACTGATGGCAACAAAATCAATGCACGATCAAAATCACCATCCTAACCGGGAAAGGAAGCGCCGTACACATGAATAAATGTATCGATTTTCTGTTTAGGTCATTTATCACACGACGAATGTCGCTATTATGATTGTCGCTGATTCTCCCTTAAGTCTGTACGTTCCACATGCAGAAATTGCACGATGGCCGGCGTCATACAAACAATTAAACAAGTCCGCTCTCCGCATTCAAATTCAACGTGTACTTCAGCTTCACACAACAGAAATAAATGAGTAATTTAACAAGTAGTGAATGAGGAGAACGGATTTATGTACAAAACGAACCATCAAATACAAGTGTTAAACTGCAAACTGTGACATGAGGTTAATTATGAACAACAATTGTTAACCATAAATTCAACGCAGGCAAACAGGCAAGTTACATGAAACTGTTTTCAGCAAAAGTATCGCTAGTCCAGTCCTGTTGTGCAGACGGCGCTGATCCGTAACTCCAGCCGGAAGCCCCTTGACCAGCACCACCGCCATACATACCTCCGCGTTTTGCGTTAGGGTTTGGCAGACCATCAGGCTGCTTGCGTTTCAGACCACCGGCCCGGCCACGCGCAGATCCAAGAGTACCGTTGCCACGAAATGAACGAGACTGGCCGCCGAATGACTGACCTCGACCTCCGCGTCCCATCGAACTGCTGCGAATACCTTGGCCGTATCCCACGCCTCTGCCGGGAGAATCCATCTACGATCAACAGTTTAACTTAACTCAGTACAAGCTACAAACACATACCATGGAACCTCCTCGAACCATTCTGCCTCCTCTAAAACCCATGTCCATACCAGACGACATACCGTTGTAGCCGTCGTAATAATCATCAAAGCGACCGCCATAATTGAAACCACCGTTATTATAACAGTCATCCCCATACGCATCGCCAAAGTTATAACCATAGCTATCTATACCCATCGAACCAGAACGAAAATCTAAACAAAAGCAATGCATCATTTTTGCCGGGGAGGGTGAAGGAGACTGGAACTGACTCTGCAAATAATTTAACTGACTAAGAATAACAAAGACCTATAAAAAGATGGCAAATGAACCCTTGATACAAATTTTCTTATGAAACAGGATAGGAAGATACCATTTGCAACAGACCACGCAATTTCACTGAATATGATCGTGATATTTTCATCTTGCACATAATATCAAACAGATTCACTGGAAATCTTTGATCAATTATAGACAAATACAACTTCTAAGCATAAGTAAACATCAGAATTCAAACTTCAAAGGATTAGAACAAGTGGAAATATGCATGTGTTCATTAATGCGGTTAAACAAAGGGTCGACAGTTGTCGAAGGTGGCGTAGAGGAACAATGAGTAAGAGATCGACTTCGAACTCGAACTCCAGAGGTGATGAGTTCGATGCCCGAAGAAGGCAATCTTTTCCTTTGTCACGACTTCCATGTGCAACGAAATTACTAGACGTTATTTCACACCGGGGTTATTCGGTCGGTAGAGCGTCGAACTCAGAACCAGGATGTCATGAGTTCCTGCACCGGTGTTGGTCACCTACCCTTCATGCCTTTGTGATTAATAAATGAATACCACTCTGATAAACCAGAAGGAAAGAAACAGAATATCACAGAATATACTTGTCAACGCTGCTCTCGAAACTGCCTTTAAATATATGGCACTCTTGACTGATCACATGGAGATGCAGATCAGCACCATCTCAAATTAGCCTCATGACAACAAGAGTGCTAGAATTTGATCATCATGCAAGGAAGACCGACAGCCCAATCGTTACACATTGTTCTTTCCTCTTTTCTTTCACTGCTCGAAAGATAACGTCCTGCTTTAACTTTATATTACTGGATTTGGTAGAGATAACTAATGCCTGGTACTGTATTGGTATGACCCACAAATCACTACTGCTTTGTTTTGACTCTCCCTCAAACAGATGTGGCAGTTCTGCTGTTCCCTGTAAAGGATACGAATTTATACTTTCTGGCGTGATAATCTGATCACTGAATTATTACATTAATTAAATAGAAACACTAAAATAAGTACAAGGATTCTGACAAATAACCCTGAAAAATTTGATTACTGAAGCTTAATAATTTAGCCCATTAAACTAACTGTATGTAATGACTTATACACACTCAAATCTTTAAAAGTCAAAATTGGTTAATATAAAGAGCTAGCTGGAACAACCCGTTGCAAGCAAGTAGTTAATGAACGTGACTTATCTTGACCTACACTGAGTTACTGTGAACAGTTACTTTATGTCTTCCAGACGACGTTTCGTACGAAAACGAAGCATCGGTTACACATAAGCTTCAGTAAAAAATTTATTTAAATAACTATGTTGA